GTTCAGTTTTCATCATGAACAAAAAATGTTCAAAGTATTGAAAAAGTCTAAAGATTGCATTAATTTTTGGATAAAAGTATAGTCACTAAATTGTATTATTAAAGATGAAGTTAGCACTTACCTTCTCAGCTTCAATGATAAATGAAAAGACGCTGTTGTTCCGTTTGTTAATTCTAACTTTATTTCATTAAAGTTTCTCAGTTTATTTATTTATTGTGGCACTTTGGATGGAATTCAGACCTTGTTGTCCTAGGCTGCCCTTCTACCAGAGAGCTGCTTTCCCAGATGCTGAACAATGTTTTGTGGTGTAATTCTAATGCCCTCGGTGTTGGTCTGAGCTCTACAGTTGCAGGTGTTCACCTCACCCCTGATATTTTATCCCATTTTCTACAGTTCGATGTCCTTTATTTGGTCCTGCTGCATTTGGGCTGGATTTTGTCTGTCACTGAATTTTGATTTCCCTTATGTTTTATGTCAAACAGTGGAAAGTTGTGTGCCCTGAAGCCCAAGAGTGCCTTTCACTTTTTGTTTCTAACCTAGGTCCTTCCCTCAGGAACTGAAGATCCATAATCCCTTCAGCTGTTTCTTCTTTGTTCCCTTTCTCATCTATTCTATTTATTTATCAATCATTTTTAATCTGAAGTATTTTTGACAGATATACAAAAAATTAAATTGCACGTATTATGCCTGCGTGTGTTGTGTTATGATAAGTAGTAATTGTTCTTTGTGAATGTTTGATGTTAGCTAGCATTTGTTGGCATGTGTCTACTGGTGTGTTCTGTATGAATTTATATTACTTTGCACATCTGGCTTCTTCTCTGGGATAGTTTTAAGTTCTACTTGCAATTAGTGACTAATCCATTTTTACATTAGTGTGATCTTTTACATGGACACCATTGGCCCAAACAACATATAATTATTTCACTTTCTATTATAACTTTTGATTTGATTTGCTTTTGTGGAATTAATTTTACATAATTTTTATTGTATGTGCAAAATCTTATAATGCACCTGTTTTTAAGTTTCAAAAAAAAATCCCTTTAGGTATGTCAAGATTTTATGATTACTATTCACTTTGAGGTTTTTAAATATCAGTGATGTAATCATCTTAATTTATGTGGATCCTGTTCCCCAAACCCAACTGTTATAAGCTTGACCAACATCAGAGACTCCTAAAGAGTTCTCAAACTTCCTTTGGCTACATTTCTTTAATTTTCATGTTTACTAAACTTTAGTTTGTAGGTGTTCTAACACAAGTCATCTTAAATTGTTCTGCTTTGGATCACTTTTTATCTAAGATTTTTCCATTAGCTCAGCTATATAGTTTATAGGTCTATAAAACAATATACAAATTAAACATTTAATACAAATAAATCATAGGGACATTTATTTTTTAAAAATTCATTGATAGGTGGACATGGTGGCTTACACCTGTAATCCCGGCACTGGGGAGGCAGAGGCAGGCCAATCTCTGTGAGTTCGAGGCCAGCCTGGTCTACAAATAAATCCAGGAGAGCCAAGGCTACACAGAGAATTCTGTCTCAAAAAAATTCTTTGATATATATATATATATATATATATATATATATATATATATATATATATATATAT